GAGAGAGAGAGAGAGAGAGAGAGAGAGAGTGAGTGTATGAGTGCGTGTGTGTGTGTGTGTGTATCGTTCAGAAATTAAATCACCTTATAATATGAGAATGGGACTAACTAGAGTGTTTGGAACTTTTGTTTTAATTCAATTTGTTTGTGTGTTACTAAAGTAGCAGTCATACAACAAATTGTAATTGAATTAACGACTCTTTGCCCTGCACAAGTATGGCTTTATCTATTAATCCCCTTGTTGTTTGACAAATGAAATTTGGAGGGCGGGGAAATCTTTGGACTGGATTGCCAGGAAGTTCTAACGTTCAATGTTCAATGAAAAGTTTTGTTTTGTTGTTCTGCCTAGTTGTCAAATGTTCAAAGGGAGAGAAAAGAAGAGGTACCTATTAGTACTAGTATTTCCTATCAGCGGGACTAGATTACTTACTGCTTACTTAAGTTATTACCCATTACGCCATCTGGCGTTTAGGGCAGCGGGACTAGATTATTAGAGACTTTTTTCTGACTTTATTCATATGGTGTGGTGGGGTTTTTTTTCATTTATTTTAATTAGTTTTTGGTGTGGGGGGGAAAGGGAGGGGGGTATAAGAATGAGGAAACGTAACGCATACGTCTCTGGAATTGCAGGCATTATCTATAATATTCACCTTTGATTACCATAGGTGAGTGGATATTTTTGTGCTGTGTCTTGTCCATAGAGTTATCTCATTTTAAAGCCTTTAGTGTACATCTATGGTCTTGTCTGTTAATTTGATTGTATTTTGTTTTGTTTTTTGTTGGGGTATTTTCTTCTATTGTTTGTTCGACCTTTTTAGAGGTAAGGGGGTTTGTGTATATAATAATATATTGTTACTGTTTCCCTGAAAAGGGTCGAGACGGCTTTGTTGATGTGAAAGTTGATACTGTGATACTTTTGCTCTTTTGATGGAGTAGGAGGGTATGGATTTACGTGATCTGAATAAATATGTATTGGGTATGAGGAGGGTGTGCGTCTGTCTATCTCTCAATTTTGACTTTCAAAAATATTTCTCAAGACAAGCAGGAAGTTCCAGGGTTATATGACCAAATCGTATCAAAAGAAAGAAAGAAAGAAAAACACCCCTAGAACAAACAAGGCATCGATTCTTGACGACTAGCGTTTGACACATGCCTATACGCTCTTGAGGCTCCCGCGTCAATTTGTAGTAAGAGGTAGACTTCATATCTTTTGTTTGGGCCGATTCCTCCTTATCGATGTGTGGTCAGCGAAGCCGGCTAAGGTCATGTGTCCCCGCCGTGTTGGTTTATCTCCCAGGTGAGAGGGCACTGAGACTGAGAGAAGGTCGGGGTTCGGTGTTAGAACAACGACGCCATTCTACACCTGTAGAAAAGAAAAACTCGTTATGTGGCAGAGATTGACGAGCTTTTGGCCCATTAGTTCTGCGTCTGTAGGGGTAAATTACGTCGTCGAGCCGAAGGAAAGGATTTGGGTGGAGATCTTTTTTTTTTAAATAATTTTATTGGTCTGTTTTATTCCATTAGCCCTTGTTGCTCAGTTTATAATGGTTTTTGTTTTTGTTTTTGTCTTTAATGCTTATTTTGTTATTCTTTAATGCTTATTTTGTTATTCTTTAATGCTTATTTTTTTATATATTGTTGTCATGGTAGTTGTTGGTGTTGTTGCTGTAGCTGATGCTGCTGTGGTCATTGCTTTGGGTTAGGTAGGTTTTTCATTGGGAGAGGGGGGAGAGGGAGAAAGGG